GTAGTTATCTGCAGCATATGTCTAGTTAGCACCTTATGGACACCAAATCGGATACACTCTATAATAGTCTGTATCTGTATGTGTGATCAATTATAAATTATATTTCGTTGTTTCTAAATGAGCAACTTTACTTGAGTAACTCACGTAGGCACAAATTTGGGCTACATTATTAACTAAGAGACGTAAAGAAAAGCAAAGAAAGACTATATTTTAAAAATGTTAACACTTAAGAAGTAATTAAGTATATTATTTGTTTTACTTTTAATTTAGTTCCGAGCCGCGCGGTAGAGTGTGACGTAACCCCAAACTCGCATTAGCCTCGCGAAACTCTCGACTCGCTAACTGTTAACGTTTACTCTGTTAAAGTTCTATTAATGTAACCACCAAAAGTGCGAAACATTTAGGTTTTCCAAGAGCCGCAGTACATTAACACCCGGTACCTCATACGAGTACATCAGACGAATAAGACAAAATAAAAACCAACCAAGTGAGTATCGTTAGATATTTATCTATCTTACAGCCAGTTGCACAAAGGTTCATTAAAAAATTCATTAGTTTAAAGAGACATTACCCATATAAATTTGACAATCATTAAAGCTTAAAGGCGTCATTAAACCTTAATGGATGTTTGTGCAACTGGCCGTTATACTGATAAATATCTAGTTTAATGTGTACCACATTCACACCGTGGCTTCTGCGAGTGCACAAAAGTAACCGATTATTTTAATGTAAAACACTTAACCGATATAAATTTTCTTTTAATTTCGTTATTATTTAAAATTGTTCCATGATTTTTTTTCGGTTAATTTGGAGCGACATTTTGATCAAACTCTTACAAAAACAAACAATACGAAAAAGCAATATCAACATATTTTTATTGATTTATTTAGCCTTTACATTTTTATACTCAGTATGTTGGCCGTTGGTGGAAGGTATCCCCCGAGCAAGGTGTAACTGTATGTATTGCAGATAAGGTAGCGGTAACATGATGCGGCGGTGTCGCCGCGGACATCCGTACCGCTGCGACCGATCCACCCATTTCCCAATTTATGACTTTTTTAAGTATAAACCTTGACAGAATTTTTTTAATGCTAAATCAATTTTATATTTAAATGTGTATTTTATTTTAGGTGTGTGTGTGTATTTTAATGTTTTCGAAATTTAATTTTGTATCCATCTGCGTGTTATAAATAATGTAGCTTAACAGGTACAAATAAGCTCACTGACTTCCTATACTGTCCGCAAAATCTTATCACTGTAATCTATTTTAAGTAAATAAATAATTTGAATTTGAAACTGTACAGCACATTGCTGTTTTGTCTTATCGTAAAATTTCGCTAAAAGAGAATTTACACAACTTTCGGGTAACCTTATAAATTATATTCAACATTATGTTCGGTTCCATAGTTTATAGCTGCCATTATTGAAATATTGAAACAATTGAAAATTTGTTAGAATACATAATGTTCTATTTCATTGTTTAAATTTTAAATCGAGTTTTGTAAACTTCAGAAGTTTTGCTTTAATACTACTTCGGCTAAATCAATGTTAAATAATGTCTGTGTACTCGACTAGAGTCAGTTTAAATACTGGTTGTTCACAATTTGCACAAGATTAATAGTTCATGTGTATTCTTAATGAAATGCTTAAAAATTCCACTTTGTCCCTGACATTCTGAGATGGTACTCGAACCCATGACCTTTATATATCCGGACGACTGCTCTAACCACTGAGCCACCCAGGACCTAACAGGATTGACGAATTTTTCAAGCACTTGTTAATTTTTTTTTGCGCTACTACAGAGCGTGTTTTCATCAATTTGCAAGCAATTCACCCGAACAAAATTGATCAAATATAAAAATTAGTACATAATTATGTAGTATGGAGGGAGTCAACCGAGATGTATTATTTATAACTTACCACAGTTTAAAAAATATTATAAAAAAATATTATTTTATAAGTATAATTTGTATTGTTTAGAAAAAGTTTTATAATTTAGGATAGTTAATTAACTATTAAACAAATCTACAACCAGTGTGTCTGTGAGCAAGGAACTTACTGGGTATCAACTAATGATGTGAAGTAAAATTATTTTTGTCGGATTGTGATCTTAATTGGCGTTACTTTTTATCCCGAATCCGAACACGTAACAATTTTATTTTGTTTTTCACTTTTAGCTCTCTAGAGGGCACTGTTGCCAAATATAGCCTATAGCACGCGGACAACTAAGACGCTTCTAATGACACCTCATTTGTCAAGTTACGATGAGTAATTTCGAAGTATAGAGAACAGATGAACATTCTTACATATCGGCCTAAATCATAACCATTTTTGCTTCGCCATAGTCGGGTAACCAGAGAAATAGCTCAAGAATTGCAAAATTATAAATTTAACGATATATTAAAACTATCGTACAGCAATAACAAAACAATACAATAATAAAAAACACAACAGTTACAGAATATATTTTATCGTAAGATAGTTATTAAAATTCTAATCTAAGGAGCCTGTCAAAACAGTACTTTAGACATAAATTGATTTGTTTTGTCTTTGCACAATCCGACAGACTATGCAACTGTGTGTATTACATATACACAACACCCAGTCACTCACCCTGATGAGCCACGGGCTCTTGTTTCAGAGTTCAGCTTATTGTGAATTAACGATGAGTGCTTTTACTTTGAACGAAATACCGAGTACCATATTCTAGAATATTGCATGCAAAGTAGTTGACAAACTTTAACTTATATAACTTGAACAGTTCGTTAATACTTCAACTATAAACACCACCCGCTAAACTTGCTTCATTATAAATTTCGATTTAAAATTTAATGAGAATACATGTAATATTATAATTTATCTGCTCTATGGCGCAGTGGATGGCGCGTTTCGTCTGCGATGCAGAAGTTATTTTGCGTAAAGGCCTTTAATAGGATGGGTCTGGCGACAGTAGAAGGTCGTCTAAAACCTGGAAAATCTCCTTCTAATCCAAGCAACTATCGACCTAGTTCTTTGTTGTGCCATACGTACATATTATTTGTGAGACTTCTGCTGAATTGACTAATAATTGACTAACATAATAGATCATCAACTTATACCTGAACAGGCCGGTTTCAATTGTGTGTTCAGTAATACAGGTGTATCCTGTCCAACGACCTAACGTAAGTGTGTGTGCAATATTAGCGTTATTGATGAAGTAATTTATTCCAAATCACTAACGTTACACGTACGTCGTATACAAATAACTGCAATTTGCTCGTGTTCAGTTCAGCTTCAGGATTTCATTCTCGAATGGTTGAGAAATGGCAGAATGATGTCATTCATTGTAGAGGTAAACTCACAAATAGCTGCGTGGCGACCGTCCGGCGGCGCGAATCGGCGCGAGGCGGCGCGTACGCAGTAATGCCGCGCGGCAGTGACGCGCACCTGCCGCCACCGCCCGCCCGCCCGCCAGAGACGCCGCCCGGGTCAAGGCCAAGGACTGTCCCCGACCATGTGGCTCGACTCATCCTAACTAACAGTTTCAAGACCAACGAATAAATAGTTTTGGATGAACTTGACACCTTGACACATTTGCTGGCATACTGAATACATAATGTTATAGTTGATTATGTTAACGTTTATGTTATACACAACATCACATTAAAGCTAAAGCATTCGTATTATGGAGTATCTGAATTAACGAGGGTACTCCAAAACCCAAACCCTCACATACGTTCATTTCCTACATTGACACGATCGGAAATCAAACCAGGGACCTCAGCGATAACGACACCTTGCAACCTGCGTACGAGTAGCAATTCTGTTGTAACAAACTGGTTCTGATATGTGGAAAAAGAATTGTAATTGGAAAAGTCATATCTACTTTATATTGCTGTTTGCACAAATTCACAAAAAAACAGTTTGTTTATCTACATTTTTTAATAATTGTATTGTAGAGATATATGAATGATCTGAGACATTTGAACTTGTAATAATTTCCTGAAGTTATTTCAGTGTCAGTGGTTACTTGGCATCACTCTCCGTGAATAACCTCACTCTGTGACAATCAGCTGCATGAATATCACTTGCACAAAGAAATTAGCATCTCCATTATTTTTAAAAACAATTGACTCATCTACTTCGAAACGTTTAGGTATACGTACATTCTGTTTAAATGAACGGTAATGTTCACTTGAGTTCGTAATCAGAAAGCGGCATGAATGGCATAGTTTATTAATAAAACTGTTATTATACTGTAGCTATCGAATATTACAAATATCAGCTCATACCAGTGTACATATGTGTACATACATAGGTACATTTTATAATTTCGATAACAACAAGATGCTTCTGTTGATTAACACAACAGAAACAACAGTAAACAAGAAACTTTCTTCGTTCCGCAATACAATAGTCATTAATCATTAACCCGATAAATCAAAAGAGGAAAATTGCCGTCGACCGATTAACTTCCTTACCGAACAGTCTGGCCATTCCAACGGTCGCTTGACGCTAAGTTCCGTCAAATTGTAAGTCAATGTTTACTCGGGATCCTATTAGCCGGATTGTGCGGAGGGCGCATCCCGTGCCCGTCGTAAAGAACGGCTCGACACTTATTTGAATAAAGATCACGCAGCCCCGACATGTGACGATCGTAAAACGACACACTGTGACCCGTTAAACTCTGTCTCACCCACCTACGGACGGACGGATCCGAGAGGGATACCGATATATATTTCAAAGTCAATTTAAATATTTCCGATCACATATGATAAAAGACGAAATTACTTCTGAAGCTACATGTTAAATTAGAATTTTATGTGTATATCTCAGCCACCCGTCCCGGCCCAACCGGATCAATTGCTCGTCTAACCCTTTGAGTGAATGGCGTAATATTGTTGAGCTGCAGTTCAACACTGATTAAGTTTTGAAAATTGGCTAAAGTAACCAAAATCCAAATGTATTTACAAGCGATTTTTGTAAACATATTGATTAAAATTCCCTGAAATATGATGAATGATGATTCAAAATGGCAGATTCATAGGAATTTAACTGGTAAAATGCAATTTGGCTACTTTTTTTAAGTTAAAATCTTTTAATAGGCACATATAATAGGCACTTTTAATAGGCATGACATAGATGATATCTACAGCGGGACATTTTAAACTCAGAAAAAAATCATAAGAACAACGACGAATTTAATCTATGTATATATAAATTTTAACAGTCGTATCTATAGTCGAGAGAAGTAATTACTTGATAAAATTACACAACACAAAAAAGAGAATTAAAATGAAATTAGAAATGTTAATAGCTAACAATAATAATATTCTTATTATTAGCAGCTTTTACTTCATTCTAATTCGTGTCTTAAGTGATTACTTTTACTCGACTATAAGTATACGGGTAAGTAAGACTGCAACTAAATGAGGACTCAGCACTCAGCATTCTATTTGATTATAAAACTTCGTTTTCAAGATTTCGCCGTCTTTAAAATCCTGGATTCGATTCCAGACTAGTTAATATAGCTAATGAAGTCTCCGGTGGTTAATTATGAAATTTTATATTAATCTTCAAAGCGACACGTTAAAATAATTTAATTATAAAATAAACAGACACATCCGACAATCTGTTTCGACCACATTATTTAATTACCGACCGCGTTCGGTGAAACAAAAATAATTTCCCATTTTCCTGGCGGATACGTAAATATAGCTAACACCGGTTGCAAGAACGCGTTGTCCCCGCGACTTTATTTATATCTACACACAATCATCACCGCTGCATTAAGAAACACACACGAAACTGAATGGAACGCTGATTTATGTTTATAAGACAGAGTTTTTTTAACCATTAAAACAATCATGTAAATTAAATTGCAATAGTTAACCGCTAAAAGTATGTCTATTTATTACCTCCTGCATTTCTCAACTGTTCTAAAATCACCTGTTTGCGACTTTACTCTGTAGCTTTTTCTGAAACATAGTATCGCAAACTAAAAATAAACAGCCATTAATTAATGAAAATATTGAATTAAAATGCTGATAGCACTAACACCACCTTTATATTGCAAATCTCAAATTGTATCTTATATTTGACCAGCTTTCCGCCAGCGGCTTCGCCCGCGTGGTCTTGTATTATACATAAAAACCTTCCTTTCAAATCACCCTATCTATGAAAAAAACCGCGTCAAAATCCGTTGCGTAGTTTTAAAAATTTAAGCATACATAGGGATATGCGGACAGAGAAATCGACTTTGTTTTAAACTACGTAGTGAAGTACATAATGTTTAAGAGCTCTCAAAGAAATGTCTCAACATTATAGCCTGATACAAATACCAACTTTCAGTAAGGAGATCAAACATTAAAACATAACAGCTGTTTTTTTTATTATGGGGGTATCATATATTTCCTTTTTAATAAATGAATTAATCCAACGATATTTTCTTTCGGATTATTAGTAAAAAAAAAAAAAATTCCTTTAATTCCAGTGAGTGCTCGCTCGTCATCGTGGGCGGACGTGACAGCGCAAAGATGCACTAACTGTGCGATACGTGATGGCGACGTACACAATAAAATGTGCAAATTGTAATATCGTAATCAACGAACTGCTTGCCTTTATTCAAAATAAAGCGGATGTTATGGATGAAGAGTCCCTTGCTCGAATTTGCTGCGATTGTTTCTCTGAAGAGGATATAGTGGTGTCGAAACGGCTTTTATTTGAATCAGTGCCTACTGCAAAACGTGTAATTCGAAGAAATAAAGGAAAGAACGTGCGTGATATCGACGACATTATAAGTCTATTGAAGCAAACTGATCCTGAACTGGTGCCTACCTTCGTAGCTCGCGACCTACAAAAATTACCACCGGTAACCTTTGACCACGTCGATGTAACCAAATTGTTAAAGGACATCATTTTATTACAAGTACAAGTAAGGTCATTCCCTAAGGAGTATGTTACATCTAGCCAGCTTTTGGAGGTAAAAAATGAAATTGAAGCACTCAAGAAGGCATCCATTGTCAATGATTTTATAAACACACGGAGAGTAGCAACATATCGAAATGTTGAGGTGAATACTTTTGACAGTGGTCCAATGGCATTACAACAATCTATAGAAAATACACCTAGCCCTCAGATCATACAAAACAGTGAAAATATTTTTTCTCCAAATATTGAGGGTACTCCGACTTGTCATAATATTGGCTGCGTGACCGCGGAGCGGGTACCCATTTCTGTTACCGCACATTCACCGTTGCTACCAAGATACCGTATGCAAGGTCAAGATAGTGCTGTTTCTCTCGCACCTACAGATAAAATCGCGCGAATATCGACTACCTGTAAAACAGACCAGTCGATAATAAACAGGTCTCTTACGGAAAGGTCAAGCAGAAACAACTCAAGAGAAAACATTAGTAGCATAACACCTATCACAAAGAAAACTGCGGCTGAGACTTTACGTGATACTGTTGGTCAACGCAGTCAAAATATGAATGATGGTTGGAAAAAGGTTGAGTATAAAAAGCGAAAAAATAAATTAACAAATATCAAGATTGGAAAAGCTAACATCGAGCCGGACGGAAAGTTCAAGGCGGCGGACATCAAATTGCCTATTTTTATATCGAATGTGTCAAAGCACACGACCGAGGATGACATTTTAGAATACATAAAGAATAACACTAATGAAGAAGTGAGTCTATATAAAATCAATAGACAAACTGCAACAAATTATAATTCGTTTAAGTTGTATATACCTAAAAGCAAATTAAAGATATTTTTAAACGATGATCTCTGGCCAGATGGAGTTTCTTTTCGGCGGTTTGTACGTGATAAGTACAAAATAAAAGCCACTAAGCAAATATCTAATGAAACTTAATGGATAAGTGTAAGCTTATAAGTTTTAATTGCAAATCTGTGAAGCGTTCTATCGACGAGATTCGGACACTATGTCAATCGGCTGACATTGTAGCTCTTCAGGAAACATGGCTTCTACCAGAAGATTTACCGTTCTTGGGACAAATACACCATGATTTTGATTACACCGGGAAATCAGCCGTGGATACTTCCGTTGGTATACTGAGAGGGAGACCGTATGGCGGTGTTGCAATTTTGTGGCGTAAACATGTCTTTAAATCTATAAGTGTGATAGAGTGTGTTAGTTCGCGTCTTACTGCCATTAAAGTTAATCTAAGTGACTATTCAATAATAGTGTTCAGTATTTATATGCCTACAGATTCTGTTGAAAACCTAGTTGAATTCACACAATGTTTAGGTGAAATGAACTCAATTATCGATTCTAGTGAGTGTGGAGCTGTTTTTATGTTAGGTGACTATAATGCTCATCCGGGTGAGTCTTTTTACAATGAACTTATAGATTTTTGTGAAGAACAGGACTGGTTGTGTTCGGACACAATAAAATTAGGTATTGAATCTGGATGTTATACCTACATCAGTGAGGCGCACGGGTGTAGGCGGTGGCTAGACCATTGTGTTGTAACACAGTCTGCTTTTAACACTATCCCCTAATGTTGATGTGATATATGATGTTTTTTGGTCTGATCATTTTCCCATTATCTTAACTTGTAACTTGAATATCATTAAATCGACGGTACGTCCAAACAATGCTAGTTATAGTAAAGTAATATGGGGTGAGAGGGATGTTGATCGGATTAAGGAATATTCTCAACTCTGTAATATTAAGCTACGGCAAATAGATTATCCTCAACATTTTGAGATGTGTGGTGATACACACTGTAAAAATTTGGAGCACTTGCGACCAATCGATGACATGTATATGAGTATTGTAAATGTTCTATCTGATGCAGCCAAGCAGACATATAATATTAGGCGTCGTTCAAATAAATATCGACAGATAACGGGCTGGAATAAATACGTACGAGAGGCTCACAGACAGGCCAGGCTTAAATATCAGATCTGGCTCTCCTATAATAAACCAACATCTGGACTCGTGTACAATGAAATGTCTTTAAGTCGTAAAATATTTAAAAGCAAACTGAAATGGTGTCAGAGACATCAGGAAAAAATAAAGTCAGACATTTTGGCATCTCATCATAAAAATAATAATTTTAAGAAATTTTGGATGGCCACCAACAAATTCAATATTAAGCCTGGCCTGCCAGTAAGTGTCGGGGGTGTTGATGAACCGGTGTCGATTGCAAACATGTTTGTAACTCATTTTAAGTCCGAATCGCCCTTAGGTGCGTCGCTGGGGATGATCGATGATGGGGCCTGTTGTGATACTGATCTCATTCGTTTCACTCCTAAGCAAGTGCGTGACGTGATAAAACGAATGTCAAAAGGTAAATCACCGGGTCACGACGGTCTCAGCATCGAGCATTTGCAGCACGCAGGTCCTCACTTGGCTAGGGTCTTGGCTATGTTGTTGTCTCTTTGCATGTGTCATTCCTACCTTCCCAGTGAACTCATGCGTACAGTAGTTGTACCTATTGTTAAAAACAAAACCGGAGATACGAGCGACAAAGGTAACTATAGACCCATCTCGCTGGCCACGATTATGGCCAAGGTACTGGATAGTTTGTTGGATTCTCGTCTTAATAAGTATTTACACATACATGATGCTCAGTTTGGCTTTCGGTCAGGACTTTCGACAGAGAATGCAATCCTAGCTTTAAAGCACACGGTGCATTATTATACCAAAAGAAGGACTCCTGTCTACGCCTGTTTTCTTGACCTGTCTCGTGCTTTTGACCTCGTATCTTACGATGTGCTGTGGACTAAGTTACGGGACATCGGTGTACCGGCGGAATTGTTGCGGATCTTACAATATTGGTACTATAATCAGGAGAATAATGTGAGATGGGGTAACGCGCTTTCAGACTCATTCAAGTTGGAGTGTGGGGTTAGGCAGGGTGGTATGTCCTCTCCTCAACTTTTTAATCTTTATATCAACGACCTGATCGTTGGGCTCAGCAGCATGAAATTGGGGTGTCGCATTGATGATGTAAGTGTTAATAATATCAGTTACGCTGATGATATGGTGTTGCTGAGCCCGACGGTGAGGGCGTTGAGAGAGCTTTTACTGATGTGTGAACGCTACGCGGTTACGCATGGTCTCATATACAATGTTAAAAAAAGCGAATATCTTGTGTTTGGGGCTGCCGGTAGTAAATGTCCATCCTATGTACCTAAAATTTGTCTGAATGGTACGGAACTCCAACGTGTATACCGATTTAAATATCTCGGACATTACGTGACCGATAGCCTTAGAGACGAGGTTGACATTGAGAGGGAGCGCAGGGCGTTGGCAGTGCGCTGTAACATGCTGGCTCGTAGATTCTCCCACTGTAGTATTCCAGTCAAATTAACACTTTTTCGAGCTTATTGTCAAGTGTTCTATACGAGCAGCATATGGACCAATTATAGTCAGCGCGCTCTTAATACACTGCGTATCCAGTATAACAATGCTTTTAGAGTACTGTTGGGGCTGTCTCGTTTCTGCAGTGCGTCAGGTATGTTTGCACAAATGCAGATAGATGATTTCTACTCTATCATGAGAAAGAAAAGTGCTTCGTTGCTCTTCAGAGTGCGTGACAGCTGCAATTCTATTCTTCAAGTCATAGGAGGACGATACGATTCTCCTATTGTAGTACATTGTGTCCGGAGATGTATTACTGGCACAAAATTAGTTTCTAAGTAATTGTAATCGATACTAACACTAGATTTTAAGTGTATTTTGTGTAAAACTAACAAAAATATGGATTCCCTAATGTTGTCCGAAATAAAAATTATTATTATTATTATTATTATTATTATTAAATTTCTCAATGGCATGATAAGCAAAATACATATAAAGTGACTTCTACGTATTTTCACACTGTTACTTATGTTACTTCCATGAAATACATAAATCTTCCTAATATTATATTAGGAAACTCATATTTTTATATAACACGGACAATAAATATTTAAAAAATATTTGTAAAAAAATCAATAATATTAACAATTAAATACGACTTCAATCGATATTACTATATTGCGTTAAATATATTTTGTTTTGAATCCAATGAAAATTTCCATGGGAATATTGCATACCGATATTCCCGTGGAATATTGGTATATAACACGCAATATATGCAGCAGACTTTTGAGTGAAATACATATTCTACTAAATATCATTAAAATCCACTCATAAATATTTAAATAAAAGTTTTATTATGTTAAACTACAACAAAAAAAAATTCAGTAAAAAATAAAGTTTAATAAAAATCACTATTTCCTGTAATTTTTTTAGTTGGATTTTTCATTGTCGCTGTGATAAATAAAACCAAAATTTGTGAAAAAAATCGTGTTAGTAATTTTGCGTGAATAAATGAAGGTTTTTTGACCTGATGTTTTTTTATACCTTCCGTAGCTAAAATGAGATGGATTCTTAAATATAGTCTCTTGTAATTGGCTCACAAACTCGATTAAAAATATTCCAGGCTTATATCGAATTATTTCCGTTTTTCTCGTATTTGTATCAGGCTAATTAGTAGAAACTTTAATAGTGACCAAATTATTCAGGGCTAACCGATTGTTGTAATGTGGATAATATGGTGGGAGGGAGTAAAAAATTTAAAAAGCTTTTACTTAAGGAAAGCCCTTCCTAAAGCAAAGATGCATATGAAATATAAACATTTAAAAAAGTATTTTTGTTGCAAAACAACAAAATATGCAAATGTACTTGTATCTAATCATTGTTTTACTAAATATATGACACTGACATGACTATGTCGTGACACAACACGGCACATTTGTCGCCACCTTTACGTTCCCTCGAGTCGACGGTGAGTTCAAGATGTTTATCTAAACAGAACCTTCTCAACTGTGATCGAGTTTATCCCTTAAATAAACATTCTGATTGCTTACTTAATCCGTTCATCTGGGAGTATTTTATCTATTCATTTTAACATTCCCCATTGTCTAATCAAACACGAAGTGTGATAAAATGAAGAAAGACATTAAAAAAAAAAGTCTAGTGAAAAATCTAGTGATTTCTTGGCTTTTTAATTTTAATTTTTACGAAACTAACAGGTGTTTTATGATATTGATTATAGTAGGGACTATTTTATAGTACCAAATCTTTCTCTTAGTCGATTCCTCATGACTGAGAATCGTGATCATAAAAAGTCGTGAATCGAGCGAAAAAGATTCAACGCATAACACGTGAAGCTCGACATGTTCGCGAACGTTGCACGACAGCACACAACACGACGCGCGGCAAGTGAGTTGTGTTGTGTTGTGTCGGTACAACATGTTGTTGTGTATTACAACACGGACAACACGCGCGGATAACGCCTGAATAAAATAATATATTTAGTCCGTTAGTCAGATAATAGAAAAATATTAGATACGTATTTTTCTATGTTACAATTTAACAAATTGGCTTACATAATAAGTAATAAAGTTGAGGAGTGGGGGGCTCACTATACCCCGTTCTATTTAAAGTGGCACAAGATGTAAACAAATATGGCCACATAACAGTTTTAGTAATGAGACATATTATTATGAATTTGATTGGTTGAACTATTTCATTTATGTCATTAAGTGATTGAGTTTTGCCATAATTAATTATTTGCCATAATATTCGTAGGGTAGTATAATATATAATGAAATTAGGTGCTAAGATTAAAAAATCCGTATATTATTATGACAACTGAAGAAGTTTACTTAATTAAATACATACTCGTATTAATATAAAGCGAGGGTTCATGGGAAATAAATATTAAGCGAATATTAATCTGGTGTATATAAAGTTTTATTACATGTTATTACGTCGTTCGATCTCAGTAATTTTATACAATAAAGTATTTTAAAGCGTTTGAATGTTTTTGTTTCACAATTCACACATAATCTATTTGTTCTACTTTTTTAGTGGTTTGAGGTACTTTTGTATTAAATTATAATTACTTTTACTAATTACAGCTTTAGAAAAATTAAAATAAGAGTACATTGTAGGGATTTTATTATGGAAAATCACTTCAGTATATTTTTGTTATTGAAACGTTGAAACGCCCTCCTATAACGTCTCAAAAACTAAATACTAATTCCACAGGTTTGAATTGAGAAAAGTACAAAATACCAACTGATTTTTCACCAGTCGAAACTCCTAGCCTTATCAAACTGCTATCAACTGATTATTAAAAAACCAAAATCAGAAACGAAAACCTGTTTAAGTACAGTTTCAGACGTTCTCAACTTTAAATGTTTAAAACAATCAATAAGACAAAAGCGATAGGATATACACGCTTTGAAATGGAAATAAAGTATCTTTTATTCAACAAATTAGTTTATTAAAAGCACTTTTGAATCATTCAATTTTTCTTTCGTTTTACAAGAAGAACCAATACAAGTAACTTATCCACTCTTCAGAAGTAACAACATTTACATATCGCATTTAACATAAGTATATCGCATTCTACTAAGGTATGTTTTTTTATGGGATAAGAGGCAGACGAACAGACGGGTCACCTGATGGTAAGTGATTACCGTCGCCCATGGACACCTGCAACAGCAGAGGGGCTGCAAGTATAACCTTAGAATGATGAGGGGAAACCATTGCGAGTAGGGTGCACGATTAAAATAAAGTGATCGTATTAAACGGCACGTAATTTTCTATATATACTAATAGATAAAGACGACTAGCGATTAAACGAGTCTGCCTGTTTCGATAACGTAATTTGTTTTTAAAAGCTGTACTTACTGTGTTTTGTTGGACATTCTGATATCTAAAGGTAGTTCATTCCACAAAAGGATAGCCTTAACGAAAAGGGAAAAATGAATAATGTCAGAACTGTCAGTGAGTGCACAGGTAAGCAAACGATTGGAAGACGAGCGAAAACTTTTAGTGTGAGAGTCACATGGGTTAACGAAAATGAGATGTGAGATAGCAGGGAGCATTTGGCAAGTCTAATAATGGAAACAAAGTAGTAAAAACTAGAATATTCTCTCGCTATCGAATAGGCGTCCATTTGAGAATAGACCGATATGAAGAGACTTGGACTTTGAATTGTTGCTGTCTAGCAACAATCTCAAAATTATCCGACCAAGTTTTGCTAGCACATAAGTCCTAATTTATCAAATCTATGTCATCATTTAACTTATCAATACTTATCATACAAATTATACGAACACTGTAGCTTATGAGTAATAAAATCAATAAAAATTTTAAAAAGCAGAAGAGAAAGAATGCTGCCTTGGAGAACACCACTTACCAGGTTGAAACTCATGTCGACACTTCGTCAAGGACCCTAAGATGGGATAAAAACGTTGAAAAAATCAATTAGAACCAGGCAAGTTATTTTACCTTTCTCCATACCTACCCTAATATCGTCAGTCACTTTTAAGAGTGCCGAAACAATGCTATGCCCCTGTTTGAATCCAGATTGTAGCGGATTCAGTAATGCATTCTTGTAAACAAAGGGAAGGATAGGAATCGGACGAAATTGATTAAGTTGTATTGGATTGGAGATTTTGGGAAGAGGACTAACATAGGCTTTTCACCACAGGGTTGAAAAACGCCGGAAAAAGAATTAACAATATGGATTATTGCGTGAAGAAAATGGCGGGTGCTGCTAGTGGCGATGAGTTTGTTCGGGCCTACTTAATTTCATCCATTTTCTTTTATTATTAATACTGTATATTGATTTATTTGTCAATGAATATGTATGATTCGGCAACCGACATATTAATCATTAATCGAAAATATCTGTCTTGCTATTTCTGATATTATATGGAAAGTGACTTCATAATCTTCATAATGCAACAATATCAACAGTCTAAGTAGCTACTAGCGTAACTACACAAAAGTGCCGCGTCAATTATACGTGCTGTGCAACATGACTCGCAGCAATTGTTGCGAAGTGTATACCCTGCTTTAGAAACTTATTGAACCAAAAATATACCTCATTTTTCACACTGAAATAGATTGTTGCATAACAACGCGATCGATGTGTTGCATCACTCATGATTTATGTTATCACTCAATTGAGTGATCACCGGGAAGGTCGCCAGTGGTGGTGCACCGCATAACTCACACGTTTATAAAAATAAACCATAAAACGACTCGTAAATTATTGTGATAAAAATTGATTGAAAGTAATAAGCGTGTTAAAGATAACCGGGAGTGAGTCTGAAGGTCGCCGCTGCTACTTTTATTTTATATATACGTGGTTCGTTAAAGTAATTGAAGCTCAGTCGGTACTATCGTTCGGTAGGATTGATATCTCTTATTTCTTGTGTACGCACTAGTGACGGAAGGGAACGTTAATAAATAATATATATTGCCGGACCGGCTAGTGGCCACACAAATTACTTACACAGGAAATTGTAAAAGTGCTCGCTGTTGAAGTGCGGTGTGATTGCCTCAGTGAGTACACCTCCGAGTCGGTGATGGTTGTTTACGAGCTGTCTCTAACGGCATCAAGTGACGTAATTAAGTAATTTTCACCGCAATTAATAATGATTGGGTATGACGTGCTAATGTGGATAGAGTAATTTCAATAATGTGTTTTTGATCTACAGCTTGACAAAGACTATATTAAATAAATCTTTTATAACTTTACTCTAAAATCTCAGCAACTACTGCAATGAGTTGAATTATTATTTTTGTGTTGTATAGTCCACTTATCGAGGAAGGCTGTAGGATATATAACTTCACGCTATGACTAAGAGAAGAAGTAGCAATAAAAAATGTTTCATAAATGGGAGATTATTATGCTTTTTTAAAGCTTTCCAAGCGTGCGCTTCTTGTTCGTGCATTATTTGAAGTTTTCAAAATAATTTATTTATTTACCTCGACGTTTCGGCCACGTTGCAGCAGCCGTGGTCACGAGGAGACTGGACAACTGGCGGGCGTCGTCTTCTGATTTTAGTTGAGGCGTGAGGGTAATCCGGTAATAATGTTTTTAACAGATTTTCAGATGTACCCTCCACTTGATTTTATTGTACTTAAAGGTGGCGACACACTGCACTCACGGTATCCGAGAATTATTCATCGGACGATAAAATAATATAAGCGTGTCTACTAACGAGTAACTTTAATAAATACTTAACCGAGGGGCGTTGAATTATGTTTGTGAAAAGTGCACTAAGCTGCCGATAATTATGAATGAGTAAAAATCAATGGTAAGAAACAGTTTTAACTAAAATAGCAAGTAAAAGTCAAAGAATCAGAGTTAAATAATTGGGCAAAAAAAAATACTAAGTGGATAAAACTATATTCGTTCGATACCTACAAATTAAAAAGATGGCAGAATATCCGTTGGCAAAATTTAATTTGGCGTTACGCACTTAATACTCTGAAAATGCTGAATTGAGAAAACAAGACCAAGCTGACCGTCAAGTTGCTATGAGGAACAGGCGTATAATCTTGCACAAGCAAAGCATCAGGCTGTTTTAAGCCCTTAAAATCAAAGCCTTCATCTGAAAGTCCAAAATAAGCGCAGTAGTCAAATATCGAGATCCAAGCAAAATTATGGCGTAATTATTAAACGACTTCAATAAAAGAAATATTCTTTCATAGATAATATTTGTTTGTATTATTTCCGAGTATTGATTCTACTGCACAGTAATAATTTTCTAATTTTACTCCACCAATAGGGCAGGCCTATGCCCAGCAGTGGGGATATGCTAATGATAATGATATATAGGTGGATGCTTACTGGCGGATTTTTGATTAACATTAGCTTAACACTATAGTATAGCAGGCCAGTGTGCCCTCGAATAACATGGGCGAAGCCACGAGTTACAGCTAGTATTATATAAAACAATTAACTGTTGATTTTTAAAATATTTGTAGATATTCATTTCATTATTTAGTTAGTTTACTTTAGCGTATGGACTTATATTATGGAAATCTGAAACAACAAAAGTAACACAACACTGACCCCCGCGACAATATATCTAGTAAAATTAATTTTACACCTTGTTCTGCCCGGGAGTCGAACCCGTGACCTTGATATGATATGGCTTTGGTGATTGAACCAATCGGGAGTCGCCTCCAAGAGTAAGAAGTCGGCCATTAATCAAGTTGCTAAAACGTCATGTGATTGATGGACTTTCCCAAAAATAGACCAATTTTTTTATTCTTCACTGACCAACGACATCATATATTATAATTTTATATTTAATGTAAT